AGTCAAATACAAGACTAATAAGTAATTTATATTTCACTTAAAGTAATAAATAAACAAAGTAAACTAAGCATTCACTCGCTGGCAATTTTATTACTTTTAACATGTGCTCTTTTTGTTCTGTGTCACTGGCACTATTTAGTTTAATCCATCGAGTATATAACCAGAAATAGAGACGAAATAAGGCCAATATATTCGTGGTAACACATTAGCGATACAGCTCTTATAAATATCAACTCTCATTTGCACTGAAATATAGACAGGCCAACTACTGACCTGTGTACGTCTCCGTATATTCCAAAAAATATTCTGTATTAATAAATAATAAAGTAATAAAGATAATATCTCTAACAATGCCGTGCTGTTCTATTCGGTGCTGTAGGAAAAACAGCAAAACATCTAATTACAAAACAAACGGAATCACATTTCATCGGTAATTAAATATTAAATATGTATATCGAGTTCTTAGGTTTTCGCGATTGTTACACCTAGGAAATGAAACTATTTTTTCTTTAAATCGCGTATATTTGTTTTTTCAAACAAACTACCTAAAGATAGCATACCTTCTTTCTTGGACCATCTTAATTCTTTTAGTACTAAGATCCAATTTACTATGGAACAAGAGAATTGTGGTACTTCAGCTTTCTTAGATGTTTTAATTAAAAGAAATCCTAATAACACCTTAGGCCATACTGTATTTCGAAAGAAAACCCATACAGATAGGTACCTCAATGGTAATTCCCATCACCATCCTAGCCAGTTAGCTACCGTGGGCAATTCTTTGTTTCAGAGAGCACATGGTGTCTGCGACAGCAATCATCTGGCAGGGGAACTTCAACATATAAAGCAAGTCCTACATGCGAGTAAGTTGAAGATTCCACGCCAATACCGCGGGCCCTGTGTGAAACCACCAACAGTCGAGCGAAGACCTGCCATCTTACCTTACGTGAGAGGTGTTACAGACAAGATCGGAAGAGTCCTCAGGCGCGCATCTATCAAGATCTATTTCAAGCCCCTGAGGAAGATTTCTCAGTTCCTGAGACTCGTGAAATGTAACATCCCCTTACAGGATACAGGTGTTTACAAGCTTGACTGTGAGTGCGGTCTCTCTTATATTGGACAAACAAAGCGAAGTATTTGTACCCGCGTCAAAGAACATATAGCTGATGTCAAACACCGTCGCGTAAACAAGTCTGCAGTCTGCGAGCATATCATGGATAAACCTACACATTCAATGAAGTTTGACAAACCCCAGGTCCTTGCAAAAGAAGTCCGTTATTTACCCAGGATGCTGCGAGAGGCCATTGAACCACCAGTTTGGGATCCAGTATTTCCTGAAAAATTCCAAACAGACATAAGACTGCAGTACTAATTAATATGTTTTAGTTTATTCTAATTTCTATTAATAATTAATAATAAATTGAACTTAATAAATATTCATTCAATAAAATAATTTGTAAAACTTAATATAGCGTAAATTGGAATGTTTTCTTTGTGAAATTAAAAATAAGGTATTTAATTAATAACTATTGTAACTATAGTGAAAAAATAGGGTGGTTTGTATCAATATTAGACATAACTGGTTGAAGACTGTACCACCTCAGTCAACCGTGACCATGGGACCTGTAAAGGGCCCGAAACGTCGGTTTGTTTGAAAAAACAAATATACGCGATTTAAATCCGGAAAAATAGTTTCATTTCCTATTAAATATGTAATTTCGCAATTTTCGTCCATTATAGCAAAGCTCAAGTTAACTGGTCGATTTGAAGTGAAACAGTTGACGACACCCATTGACGATACCCGTCAATTGTTTCGAACTCGGGCTAGCCAATCGGAGCGCAGTTGTCACAGTAATGATATGGCAGAATAGTTTTCAAATAAATTAAATGGCATTTCGTCTCTATTTTTGGTTATATACTCGATGGTTTAATCATATACTAACACTACATTAGTTCAAATGGATTTGTGCGTTTTAAACGTGTTATATTAAATGTGTAGTCAAGAAGCTGAAAGGCTTCAACGTTCACGTGACGGTGAAGTCTGCGTTGGTGGGCTTCGGAGTACTTCTGGAGCTATCTTGTCTACGACTTCCATTTCCAAGTCTCGACAGACGTCTTGGTTTCGTAAGTACCACGACGCATTTACAACGTTCCTAAGTGCTTTATTCTGGAAAAGTTGGATAATGTCTAAATTGGTCTTTGCGGTGCAGCCCCAGAGTTTCAGGTTGTCGAGTTAAAACTCGACAACCTGAAATTGGATATCAAAAAACCAACTACGGGCTTTATAGTGCGAAAAATACCTTCCTGGTCGAACGGTTACCATATTGGACTGCCACATAGAGGTCCCATGTTCGATTCACGGGCCGGGAGAAATATTTATATGAATTTTAAAACTTTCGTGGTTGGTACGAGAAGCCATCGAGATCACGAAGTACAAAACATTTAACCGTGATGATGGTTTTAAACTGTCCAGTGCATGGAATCCGGTCCTTAGTGCGTGCAGTAATAAAAACAAAAACACCTCGAGCTCAGTTTCGCGTGTGGATACAGTGAGTGTGGTTTGTGTGACAATGGTAACGCAACAACAAATTGCGATGAAGGTAGTCGTCGACAGCGCAAGAGGGTAGACAGATATGTCTGCTCTTAAAGCTGTCATCTGCCGCCGTCCAGTCAACCCGTGACCATGGAGCGTGCAACCGTTCCGAAATATCGGGAAAATAAAAAGAAGTCATACCGTGGTAAGAAACCTGATACTAGTGTTAATCATTTAATATTTATATGGTCTACATTTATTTTTTTCATGAGTTTGGGTGTAATTTATGGTTATGTGTCGCACCCGCGGTACAGGGTTTTGCTAGTGCGGGACTATGAGTGTGTGCGTTATTATTATATATTTCCAAGTGCTTTTTAAGTAGTTGCCGCCTTCTGCTTTTAATAGAGAAATATCAACAACGTACTGACGAAATTCAATGATTAACATATACTGAACATTTTATATTGAATCAATATAAGCAGTACTGCAAGAAAAGTACCGGCATTATTGTGTGTAGTATTATTTAAATAGCTGTCTATGAAAGGACTATATAGCATAAGATAGTGTTCAAAATTCTCAATTTAAAACATTTCGGTCAAGCTAGAGCACAGAGTGAAAATGAGGACAATATATTTAGTTCTATCGAATTTTCCTTTGTTAAGAATTGAGGCTACTGGGAAACTGACACCATTGTACTCTTAGTCTACCGCATCTTCGCAAATACTAAACCTTGAGTCTAGAATCACCGTTAAATCGATGGGCTAACCTTTAAAAAGTAAAATTAAATAACAAAACCGACGAATATCTAGGGTTGGCAGACCATAGCGCTTAAACCAAAAACAAATAATAATATAATATCAAGTGACGGAATGAAGAATAGTCGTGCGCCTGATGGCAAGCTACACGCCTGTCCATAACAGTTGCAGTGCCACTATGAGCTTTAAATCGCAAAGATCTGAGGGGTATTGCCACTACGTCCTTCACCCTGAGACATAAGTTGACAAGTCTCATGTGCATGTAGTTTCACCAGCACCCTTACCTTTCAAAACCGAAATACACGAATGCTGACAATACTGCTTGCCGGCAGAAATAGGTAACGTAGCAGTACTTCTCTGGATGAACTCTTTTATAAGAAGCTCTTCTGCTACATCATTCAATTAAATCAATGAATTATTCCCATCTGATCCCCTAAAACCGACGATGATTGGCTGTAGTAATCATAACATTAAACTTAGGTTTAAATATTACTTAAGAGTCTATACTACCTCAAATGACTTTGGTTAATTCAGCTTATCCGCTCACGCAATGCGCTCCTCCTACTGCAAAATGGCGGCTATTTGGTTTCGCAAATTAGAAAAGCATTCAGTTTAAATACAAGTTTTTATAAATAATAATTTTTATATTTTTGGATAAATATGATAATATTCCGTTTGAGTGGTTCTAACGTTTACCATGAAATTACTCCTTAAAGTATACTTTGTAAAAATTTATATTCAGGGTAAACTTAAAAAACACCGTTTTCAATAAATAAACACCGGAATCACCAGCCCAAACAATAACACAGACGATTGTCGTGACGTATTTTTGAAGTTTTTTTTTTTAAAACAGGCATTAAAAACTTTATGGTTTGCTAGAGTAGTTACCGAAATAGCAATATAATATTAGTTTTTTTACCTGTTATAACTTCGATATCCGATAAATCAGTATAAAATCATTATCGGCACCTTTAGGTGTGGTATGCGTCTACGGCTGCATGTATCACGTGAGCGGATAACAGTGAAAGCGTTGAATCAATTACTTTGGAAAAAATATATACTAAAATTGAAGATATGCACTAATTAGTACACGGTGTGAAAACACGATTCCTAAAAGTTCACGACAGAAAAAAAACACAAAGTTACCTCGAAATTTTACATGAAAACCGCTATATTCAATAGGTACTTTACATATTACAACAATGGTTTTTTTAATATCAAGTGAACTAAGTAGAACTACATACTATACGATATACATTTTTCAAATGGATTTCATTTCTATGATAAATAATAAATAAAATCTAAGATAATAATAAATTATATGAATATTACTTTTAATAAAACGGTCATTCTCAGACTACTGTTCACTACCTAATTTCCGTGGCAATTTTTATTGTTTAAGTATACGATTTTTTATCGTGCTGTATTATTTAATATCCGAGTATTTAATTGTATAGTGAATTATTATTTAATAATTACACGATAATATACTTGATATTTAGATAATACAAAATGCCACGGAAATTAGGTAGTGAACACTAGTCCGAGAATGACCGAAAACATCATCATGTTCAACAATTAAGTACAAATTTACTTAATTGGCAAACTAATTTTTGTATAAATACAATTGAAAATGCAATGTAAATTTTTGTATGTTCAGATTTATTGTATTCTTCAAATTAGATTAAATGATCTTAAAATTAAAGATAGAGAAATAGGTTTGTACAAGTTATTGTGTTCAACTTAAGTATATAGCATAAATATTTAAGAAATAAATTAACTTACACAATTAAAAGATTTTTAAATTAATTCAGTCAAAGTAAATGCTTTTGGTTATCTAATTTACATAAAATATTTAAAAAAATGTAAGTTGACGTTAATAATAAATAATAACAATAATGTGCCAAATAACCACACCAATTACGTGGTCTCAAACTGGGGAATTCCCTATAGTATAAGTACCAGAGCTACGGTATTTAATCTGGGCCACTACCTAGAACACCTAGATCACAAAATCGAATGTGCGATCTTCTCATACAGCGCCCACAGTACAAAGCTTGGGCCACCGGAGTCGTCAAAAGATAAAATTTGCCTACACGAATTATATTGCACACATAATCATGTAACAAAAAAACAGAATGTGTAACATAAATGGAAAAATATAAAAATTACATCCGATGTTATATCAAATACAATAACATATTTTACAAATACGTTGTTATAATCAGCTAACAAATAAAGTTAAACAAAAGAACATGCAATATTAATTCAATAAGAAGGAATATGTGGCTAATATATTCTATATATATTGATTATTATAACTATCCTAAATTCATTAATTTGTATAGAGTGTACAGAATTCCATAATGATGATTGTTGTCATTGATTGTGGAAATATGAAATAAATTTATTTATTAGTTTATTTATTTTAAACAATAATTAAAGTTGATTTATTGCACTTGATTGTCGAATACTGTTTGAAATACGTATGTAAATGTAATACATAAACCTCATGTAAACGAATCATCAAAAAACGCTAAAGTATAAAGCAGTCAGGAGCGCAGGCTTTTTATATCTGAGGTTTGGTTACATCAAATATCATAGTGACATTGAATTTACATAAAAAAACTCATCATTTTCTTTCATCACACTTAATTCTAGAACAAATAAATACTTATTAAGTAATAGATTTTTATCCAATTATATATTATAAAAGAATTTGGGCTAAACAGCGGCCCCTGGTGCAGTTCCATACATTGGTCCAGGCGTCGGTCTATGTTTGGCCAAATTGTAGGCTCTGTTCAAAGCCCAATCCTTGGAATATCCTGTAGAATATCCATAAGTGTTGTAATCTGAACTAAAATCTGAACTGTCGCTGCCTCCGAAGTAGGAATAGCCACGGTGCTACAATCAAAAGCAAAACAAAAGTTTAGTAATTTTATAGTAACATAAATGTTTATTCAAAGTAGCGTTTTGTAAGGGTTACAAAATGTTTGAATTCATAATTTCATTATATTAAAAAATAAAAAATGCTATAAAATGCTGAAGTAACAATTATTAAAATATGTATTAAGTGTGAACACTTAACAATAGCTAAAAATAAAGTTGACAATGTTATTTCAATAATGATAGCGGAATTATTTCTGTACAGTATGAGACATTGCTAAATATAAAAAAAATACTTTATTTTTATGTATGTTTAGAGCACACGGAAATTGGTAACATTTACTTTTTAAGAGTTAATTAAAATAAACATATTATGTCCCCGTATAATTCAGTTATGCTAATTATGAATATGTATCTGTCTATTTGAAATAAATTTGACACATATTCATTTATTATTTACATCACTAACACGCAGTGAATCTGTACGAGCAAGTTTAACTTTTTTTTACTAATGATGACAAAACCCAATTTTTTTATCTAGTAATCAATTCTATATACTGATGTTAGAATAACATCTCTACAAAATTAAATGTAATAATCTCTCTACAAATAAAGATAAAGTTGGTACATACTATAAAGCAGCGGAAGGTTGCCTATTTGGACCATGTACTGCGACATGACCGATATCATCTATTACATACCATAATGATGAGCAAAGTAGCTAGGAAGCTGAAGTTGGAAGAAGGAAAATGTCATGGCTTCGTAACATCAGGGAGTGGACCGGCATCAAGACCGTGGAATAACTGTTTATGCTAGTTCTGGACACAGAAAGATATAGAAAACCGCCTGCCGACATTTAATAATTGAGAGGCACTTGTAGAAGAAGGAATGAAATACTGTAGTAAATGTACTAAAGTGAATGTGACCGGTAAGAATTTGTTGTGAATCCGTAAAATCATGTAGGTAATCATAGAATATTGATGTCAAAATTATTACTAGTGGGACACTACATATTACACACCGACCAGAAGTAATTTAGAAAAGTGTGTTTGTTAATTTGGTATTGTTGGTAATAGAACGTGTGCGAGTACCAAAGTTTAGCCAACGAGTTCATTGACATCAAAATTTGCAAATGGTCTTGTTAGTAGATATAACAATACCACTGGAAATGTACAAGTCATGGAACAAAATTAAGTATCATTTGGCCGCTAACTGTTAAGTAAGAAGATAGATCACAGGATGGCGTGGGATATTTCCAGGAAAATGAGATTTTCATCAGATAAGAAATTTTAATGTCCTTTTAACATTATCATGGCATAAGAGGTAACAATATAGTGTCTTTCTAGTTTTTGTATTTAAGATAACTATAAAATTATGCCACGTTAAAACGAACACTTTTTATAGATGTCTTCTTCACTTATAAGCATTTTTAAAGTTTTTTGTGGCTAGAAATCACAATGGGTTATGTTGAGTGTGTGCGTTATTTTATTTATAATACTAACGGGACGAACAAGACGTGCATCTCGTCATAAGCAACAACCCTATCCATAGCAGTTGAAGTGCCACTTAGAGCTTTAACTCGCAAAGATTTGAGGGGCATTGGCACTGCGCCCGTCACCCTGAGACATAAGTTGACTAGTTCCATGTGCCTGTAACTTCACCAACACTCTTTCCCCTCCAAACCGAAACGCAATAATGCTCACTTTACTGCCTGGCGGCACAAAAATCATTTCTCATCATCAACTCACTAAGCTTAAATTAAAAAAAATATTATCATATTGTTTCTAAAAAATGTTCAAATAAGTGATCGCGCAGCTTAACATGTCGCGTCCACATAGAGTACATTTACAAGACCGATAGGTAAAACGAATTCTCCTCTTCCGTTTTACCAATCATATCGATATACTACATACAAACGAGATATATTACATACAAAGTCATAGATCACAACAATTTTTGTATTCCGAACGCAGTTACAGAAAATATTGACACTACGTAAACATTTCACAAACTCTATTTTTGTAAGGTATTACCATCATAACTAACATTAATGTTGATTTGTTTACTTCCTTTTACTGCAAATCGAATGGTGTTAGTTTTATCCAAGTGTACGCTTATTTGTTTACGCTTAGAAGGTGAATCAATATATCATCATTAATATCCATTTCATTATGAAACAGGTCATTAAGACAGATCTCCGAATGAAATTATCACATGCTGAAAAGTGCTATGTACAGTTTTCGAGAAAACTTCATTATTCACGAACGGCCTTGTTCAAGCATTTAGGGTAACTCAATGTACTTTGCTTCCATATTCGTGCTTGATATTCCTTAAAAAACTTCTAATTTGAGCCATTTTTATACAATTTCTGTTTAGTAGTCTTATAAACATTAAAAGACAGTGAAAGACATTACATGAATGAGACATGGAAATGAAATGCATAAATGCACTTTGGAAAGTAATTTCATACCTCATTTGATATCTTCAGCGATTTTCCGGTACATTGAACTAGGAAAGTGATCTTAGAAGTTAATGTTTCGCACGGTAAAACAAAAGTATAAAGTGGGTTGATTTCTTTTTGTTCTCAATTTTCAAGTCCTTTTATATTAAACGTAGTCTATTTATTTGTCTACGTTGTCAGTTTAGTATTTCATATTCCTTAGTCTAAATACTTGTTTTTGTCATTAAATATTACTTGTTTATATTCAATTTAAAGTTGCATAAGCTTGGTTTGTGCTCTTCCTGCCAATTTGGAGAAATCTGTTCAAAATAATTATGTTTCTATATCTTAACATAAGTTTGTTTATTCCATGTTATTTATAAGTGTTTGTTTATGCTTATGTGTGTTTACTTTAGCACTCTGTACGTGTACTGTTATTGACATATCAAAATAATGTTGAATTTTAATGATACTATGTCAGAGAACCCCACTAAGCCTAGTCTCAAACCAGGGAATTCTCTGTACTATGATTACCTGAGCAAAGGAATTTCCATGGGTAAAATATTATGATTATGGCCTAAACCCACTCCTTTGTACAGATATATGACCAGTCGCAGGCTGTGTTTGGATGTCTATAGTTTTCCTAAGTATTCGAGTTGAGATCCCGGAAGGCTCGCCTTCATAATAATAATAAGTATTGTCCGCCGGTTCTTGAACCTAAGTCCCTGACCCTGGTCGACAATGCTATTGCCGGGGAAAACCGCCTCTCCCATTTTAAAATTAAAATTAATCATTTAGGCCATGGGAATTGGGATCAATTGCCTGGAATCAAACTAGAGAATTCCCTGTACTATGAGTACCAGAGCAGCAGAATTCACTCTGGGGCATTTCCCACAACTCCCAGAACAGAATTAATTTCGGAAAGTTCACTTCCCAAATTGGTCTTAGCGGGAATCGAACCCGGGACCTCTGCATCCAGGGCGCACAATGTAAACCGTTATTAGGTCACCAAGGTCGTCTTTGCTTTTGAGTAACAAAAAAAAATGTGTAATTGTTCTCCGTCTTAATTACAGCGTATTTTCAACAAAGCAGTGGAAAATGTAAGAAAAATACATTTCCCTCCTTCGCACAAAACGCAATCTAAGAATTAAGAAATGCTCAAAGGTTACGTTTAATTCCGTTTGCGAACCATTGTCATATTAAATGTGAGAGAGATGTTATTTCAGTTTCCAGGCTCCTGAAGTAGTAACTTACAAAACTGCGTGGTACAGTAAGAAATAATTAGTTTCGTACTCTTTGTTCTTTACAAAGTGGTTTTCTTATAAATATATTTTTAACTTAATACCTTGCTTGGGTACGTGGAATTATCTAATTAGATTTGATCTTTTGCGGTACAACAAACATGAAACAATTTTCTATTAGTTTAAATTTGCTTACTAGATATTGTTCTATTTGTTATTATTTACCTTGCAATGTTTCAACGTGCTAAGCAAACTCGGTAATAATAGAGCTGCAATAAGCAGCAGTTTCTTGATTAGCAGCACTGATAGAAGGATTGGTACCAGTAATACCTTGGTCTTAAACACAGCCAGTAAAGTTAGCAGAGGCACGATGAGAGCAAGCTTCTTTCTTCGACCACGACCTGAAATTTGAAAAATCTTTACAAATTGTTGTATTTTGACAATTTAATTTTATGGCTAAATAGGTTGTGTAACCAACGTGAAGATGATTTTGGTTTTGTTGTTCTCCTTAAATTAAAGTATTTTTTGTTTTTATTTGGTAGCTTAGAATTTCTCTTTTATATTAAATACAGTGTAGTAGTCCTATGGCCTATCTGTGTAGACCTTACTCAAAATGTAGATTGAAATGAAAATATAAGAATACAGTTGTTATCCCAGTGTCTGATAAAAAGCTTTAGATATCATTGCTATTCATAGAATCCATTAAGTTAATGTCTTTCCGAAAACAGGCAACAATATGGCAAATGATATTGTGAGCTTAAAATCATGGAAGGAAATTGCTCTCTGTAATGAAAATGGATTATTCTTTTTCTAGTACATTGATGAACCTAATATTTCAGTGTACAAAAACAATAATAATAATATCTCTATACTCGTAATACTTCCCACATATTTTACTTCAATTTTCCCAGAAATAAATATATATTTTTAGATTTTTCAAGTTAAAAGGATACTGTAATTAGCATCGAAGTCAATATTTTGTAAAGGTCAAGGTCAATAAACTTGAATATCAATAATATAGGTACAATGTAAGTGCGTGCTCTTGAGAAAGGTGGCTCACATTAACTCGACGAGGACCCTAGGAATCCGAACGCCGTAACGTTGCAATTTAGGAATAGCTAATGTTGAGCTATAGGCTGCATAGGCAGATAATGATGTTAATGTCGTGAGTGTTTATTATATAGCAATCATTTGAAAATTGGTTCCAGTACAGCAGTTCGTATTTCCGATACTTGATAGCTTAATTAATATGTCTATTTGATTTGTTAACTAGCGGCAATGAGTGAACAGGTAAACTTCACTAAATTGAAATTACTAGGATATGCCAAATGGTGTTTGATCTAGTCTGAAGCTTCTAATTAAGTATTGTTCAGTAATATTCTCTCCGAAGCTTTACTCGATCATTATTGCTACAAATGTATGGGTAGAATGACTTCCGGCGTTTGATATAGTATACCAGTTATCGGTCTGGAATGTATCAATATAATATATGATATTATATACAATTTGGCTTAATAGTCTCATGCACACTATTCTGTTACACATCATTACGTTTATACAGGGTGTAATCGTTAAAAATGCCCAGGCGTTTATTCCATAAATATTAAAAAGCTTTAAACTAGTAATGAAAGTACGTTACCTAATGAATAAATCGACATCAATAACTTTTTAAAAATACAACTAGAAATTTAAAATTTTAACGTTAAGCACTCCTATAAATTTAATATGACACTCGTAGGGAGGGTTTACTTGACCTAGTTTAAGAGGTAACAATAAGCTTACAGATAATAAAACTGCTACAAATAAAGTAATAAAACTATCTTTCAATTGAATAAAACAATAACGGCATAGTCAATTATTTGGTCAAGTGTGATTTGTCCATATAAATGAATAAAATTATTACATTTTTTTAGTGCTAATCGACTCAATTTCATGTAAGAATCATTTCATTGTGTGAGACAAAAAAATCGGGACAGCAGAAGTTGGTCAAGTTTAATACAATGTTGTTCATTTAACATTTTCTACGAAAAAACTTTTTTATTAAATTTGATCAAGAGCTCTTAATTATTCCGGAACATGCTAAACATAGTGTGTTGTTTAAAATATAAAGGGTCTATAATATACAGTTGCATCAGACAATGGCAAGTTTTTCATACAAGCGCCATGCAAGCAATAAATATGAAAATTACGAATAGTATATGTGAAAAAAACCAGTGATTAAACAATTATTGTAAGCCTAGTTGAGAGAACGCTTGCCAGGAGGCTTGTATCGATTCCCAACTATGGAGCTTCTGAGCAATTGCGATTCACATGCAATTTACTTTAATAACTATCATTGCTTTTGACGTTCCTCATTCTGAACTCGAATTAAGCATGGTTGACTTTGGCGTAAAACCCTCTTTTTATAGAAGTCCACTTGGACGCATGTGTTGATAATGATATTGGTGAACCCCCGAAAAGTTTTTAAGCAAATTCCTTGAAGGGAAAATAACTGATATTTCCTGGTTGACTTACATTTTTACTAATAAAAATGTATGTAAAAATTAAATATATATATATAATTCGATAAGCTCTAAAGCTTATCGAAGAAATCTTCAACATAATTGAAACTAATGAAGGCTATTAAGTAATTTCACAAATATAAATGGCGTACGATTTAAACTGAATTCTTGATTCTTATTAAAACTGAAGCGTTCATGATTGATTGTTCGAACTCTTACAAATTTGTTGGGTCAGTTTTCATTTCAATTAGTGCAGTATCTAGGTTATGAATACAGATTGTTTCGGTCGAATGATTGACGACTGTTAAAATTTTAAATTGTGGTCATTAATAGTGAACATTCAAATATCTTAATTGTTCGTTACTACTAGATGTACAAATAAAAAAAAATATAGTAACAAACAGCATAAAAGCAATGTGCAACCAGGCGGCCTTATTTTGTGAATAAGTTTACTACCTGTGGATGTATTTGGTGCTTTAAATGGGTGTATTTTGTTTCACTCAACTATAAGCTGTTGAATTAAAATTGCTATATTATAGTGCTTTAATAACTTTAATGTAGTAGTGTCGTGCTTAAATGTGTGCTTAAATTCTCGATCTCTTGCTTTTTACTGTGATGGATGTATCGTGATAGTAGTCATGGTATTGGTCATTTTCGAAGTGACTTTTGCCAAAATTTATGTGTAAAGCGTGAACACACGTGCGAGTAAATTGTATAAAAACAACTTACTCTTACGTGCTGGGGGCTTCGCAGCGTGCGGGAACGCGGGTCGCGGGGAGGCTGTCAATTATTCAGACATTTTACTATAATGAAGTAGGTGCATGTTCAATAAAATAACAAATATCAATAAAATGAATGACATCACGGAAAGTGTGCGATGGAATTGCATGATTTAATTCCACCTTCCCCATTCCATCGTCGTGAGACTAGACGCAGACAGGGGTTCCATGCCGCAATTCTCACTAAGCGTTTTGCTTCTACATTTATATGGCGAACGGCAAAGGAATGAAATTCCCTGCCTGCAGACTTGCTTCCCGAACGCTATAACTTGGACATTTTCAAGGCGACGAATGAAAAAAATAAGAATGAAAAATTATTAACCTATTATTAAAATAATTGAGGTTAAAAGTTATAAGTATTCTATATTTTGGTCAAATCTGCATTAACAAGTGTGAACCAGACTCTCGTTTACGCTATGCTTGGAATTCGTTTGAAAGATTTGACTCGAATCTGCCGTGATGTGGTGTTTTGGCAGATTATCCGCTGAAAAAGAAACATCTTAGAACATCGAATATATGTAGAAACCACCCATTGGTTCACTAAATTTAAAATAATTAAATTGAGTTCACGCTATACAAGGTGAAACTCTAATATTATCTTCTAACCATAATATTCTATTCAAATTCACCATAATAGATTGAATATTATAATTTCTGTAAACGAGGCGTTATAGTTGAATTTGAATTAGCATTATTTACCCCGAATAATTAAACGTGGAAGTTTAATATTTAAACGTGGAAATAATATTGGACGTTGAAACAGAAACTACAGTCTTTAGGAGTTAAGTTAATGTAATTAGCGATAAAGTTAAACAATTTCACAAAATCAGCTATAAATTTAAATCCAAACATCAAAGTTATATTTGATTCTTGGATAAGTAGGGTAACTAGCCACTTTGTGGTCAGGTACGAACAAATCAAACAGAAGATCTAACCACTGGACAGCTATCTAGTTATATATCCGAGGTGAAAGATATCTAGTTGTCAATCGTTGAAAGAGAAATGTTAAACGTGATATTATATTAAAAAATCAACTTAGCAATGGCGTCAATATGTTCAAAATTTTGGTTGGAAAGAACTATACCATAACCAAAATAAAAAAAGTTATGTTTTCAAGTATAAATTTATTTTACCTATGGAACAAACGATTCTTTGACTTCGGAAAATTCATGGCCAATTATAATAACATTATGGTGGCACTTCACATGGCTATATGTATTCGATATTTGGTATTTTTATAAAAAGTATTTGACGAACAGACAAATATGTATACACTGAAAAATATGACCGTCAAAATATGAAGTTAAAATGATGAATATGACCATAATGTGGTTTACTTGCGTGTTTGCCTATTGGACACCTTTAATGTGCGTCGAGAAATCGACCAGCGCGAGGTAACGCGAGTTTGGTGTTTGCTGTATTTGTTAAATAGGCAAATATGCTATCTATACATGGTGATTGTAGATAGCATATAATTTGTCATAACTTATATACCTATACACGTGTCATAGTAATTATTTGTCAAATATATTGCCATGTGAAGTGCCACCATTAAAATTTCATTCAAAACTAGACGTCACAAATAAATAGAAATTGGTCATAGTATTTTATCACATGAGACCCAATTTTATTTCACTAATTTGCTTATATCTTAATGAATGGATTAAATTAATACTCCCATAAAGTACTGTCATTGATGTTTAAGTTCATTCAAAAGTTACGTCTACAATATTGTCTTTAATTCATTATTTTGTTCGATTGTGAAAAATGGAAACTTTGTCTCAATTTCTTTGTGCTTGATAAGAACGTAACTTAAAACCGGACACAAAGAAATCAACAACAAGGACAAAAAAATCTCCAAATCACTATAATCGTCACAAAAAATGCCGACACAAAGAATCATTAAAACTTCCTTACTCGTGATTACGGACCTTAAAAAAGTGTACGTTAATAAAGAAAACTCACCATCATTATCAGTCTCTTCGATAGTTCTGGCTCCATCAGGCAATTCTACCCTCAAACCTTTCAATTTAAAGAAATCCTTTACGAGTTTCATAAAATACTGTGCAAGTTGGGTCCATTCAGAAAATATACTCCTCGGCATGTCAATTAAGACTTCTGTATCATTGACTATCAATCGTTTTATCGTGTCTTCATCTAATGGGACAAAACTAATAATGTTGTTAGCTTTTATAGTCTCATTGGAGTAAAAATCGTCGCCAAATATAGATTTCTTTGCTATCTTCAAAGCTTTATATTTGACGCAGGACAGGGCTTCCCCTCGCGTGAAGCAGCCATCCTTTACATATTGAAGGTAACCATCTTCAGTGCTGGTTATTTGTTGGATTGCTAGTACTATGACGAAGAATGGAAAGATTGATATTCTTGGTGTCATTTTTTATTACAATCTGAAACAAGAAATAAATACAATTATTAATACAATGATTGAATATAAAGACAAAAATCTTGTCCTTTTATTAAATTAGAGAATAAAAAAATAACGAGAATTGTCACTATCTGCCCCTCCCTAGCTTTAGATACCGCACTGCGCCCCGCATATTGACGTTCACATTGACGGGACGGTAACAAATGTCAGTTATCTACTGCATTTACATGGCACCATCAGAATTACTTTAAAATCCAACTTCGACTTCCTAGGTCGGTAGTTTGTGCAGTAAATCCATTTCCAAATCCAGAATTCGAAAAAATAAATAAGTAATATTTGGTGGTTGTAACAACTCTATGTAGCTCATTGTAGCTAAGCCTATACAGGTCTTATATGTGGAACACCTTTTTCCGACTTATGGTTTTTATTAATTATAACAAACTAGTGAAGTCATTTACCAAAAATACTTGAATGTCATGGTGGTAAAACATCTTACTATTCAATAAAATCAATAAGAAATAAATATATCTATATTTTAAACTCTTCTATTGGTTTGTTTTTTTATATATATATATATATATATATATATATATATATAAAAAATGAAATACCGACCTCAAGTGTTGCGGAAGTACATATATTTGCAAAGTTTTTTTGAAATTGGGTAACGGAAAGTGGGTGAAAGCTAGGATACATTTTTTTTTAATACCTTTAATTTATGACTATAAAAGGGTATACAAATTATATTTTAAGCTTTAATTGCACGACATTGCGATGACAATATGAATCATTGACATAATTATTAAATTGCTTAAAATGCTTCATTTTTCGCAAGTAATAAAACGTTTTGTTACTATTTTCGGATTCAAAAATGGATTAAGTTCCCTTGTAATCACGAGTTATGTTACATTCATCACAATTTCTGAGTATTCATTTGAGCTCTGTAACCGACACTCTATTAAACTTTAGACAACGCTCATAAAGTATCAATAATAAACTTTCCTCATTAGCTTTGCCAATCATTAGTGAAAGAAAGTATCAAGTCTAATACGTAGTCTCAGAAGTTGTTCAATTTATTTAAATAATAAGAATGTACACCGGTTTCAACATTGACAGAAAACAATAAAAGCAAATTGATGGCTTTCCAGAATAATGGCCTACCTCAGAAGCATATAATTCATCAGGAAACCATGTAAAAAATACTGAGACGTTTCTCCCGCGCAAAATTGACGTATTGAAGACTATCCCAACTTTGGCATGTGATTATTTTAACCAATGATAAGCTCCCAAAAAATAAAATTTCACATAATATTTCGAATAAATATCGGTAATAGGTCAAAAAAGGAATTTGGATTGATTCCCGATTGTGATTGTGATGATTTCCGATTGGGCCACTGTTCCAGAAACGCAGCGAATTGTGGCAAATAAAAAAGGAACGGTTATATTTTCGGATTTACTGACGATTAGTAAAGTAAAGAATTACAATAGGAGCATGGAATTTAAGTACAGCGTTTCCAGAATTTTCGAATATTTTTACCGATAAGTAGAGAATTTTCTGCACGCCTACAATAAAACCCAAAAATATATTATTTTTAATTTGCGACATTTCTCAAGTCGCCATTAGAGTGAATATTTCGAGAGATGTTTCTTTCAGATTTGTAATATTGATTTTTAATTAATATTATAAGTGATCTTTTAAGTACTACCATGATATTAATTTATTTTTTTGTGAATTTACTCCACTAGTTTGTTATAATTATTAAAAACAAAGACCGAACTCGATAATCGCACAGAGTACTAATAAATCGACCTCAAAAGACATTCAACCCCCAGTTTGTTACCCTTAGAGGTGGTCATCAGCATAGCCCCGTACTAGGGAAACCCTGTGTCGCGGGTGCCATGGACACACTCGTATACAACCACAAATTACACCCAAACTGACGAGAGAAATAAATGTAGGCCATATAACTATTTCTTCCGGCCCGGGTATCGAACCTGGGGCCTCTGCGTGGTAGCCTGGCATGGTAACAGTTCGGTCATAGACGTTGTTAAGTGTTATGGTGTGTAAACACGATTCCTAAAAATATTCACAGTAGAAAAAAAAAACACAAACTTACCTGGAAATTTTACAAGAAAATCGCTGTATACAATAGGTACTTTAGATAATGTTTTTTTTTTCTATAGTTTACTATACGATATACATTTTTCAAATAGCTTTAATTTCGTTTGTATAAAAATAAATTCGGAAAAAAGCCAGTGTCCCTGCCGCTGGACCCAAGCAAAATGAACCATAATATATAAATAATAGAACCGTAAATATTTATTCACAAAGACAATACAGTACATTGCCTATCATTATACAATTTACGGGCGCCTTTAAAATAGGTGTTTATTTCTTGTGCTAGTAATTTACAAGTGTACAAAATACAATAATATTTATTCAAAGCGAATAATAAAAATACCATCAAAGTATCGAGTTCTTAGGTTTCCGCGATTGTTACCATTGTTACACATAGGAAATAAAAAACTATTTTTTCGGATTAATTTTTTACGGATATTTGTTTTTTCAAACACACCAACGTTTCGGGCCCTTCACAGGTCCATTTAAAGCCGGAAAAATAGTTATTTCCTACCATCAAACTAACCAAGTATTAGAAAATGGCTTTTCAAAGAGATTGCAACAAAATTATCCTGCATTCACCCACGTACCACAGACGTTGTGATTTCGCTTTTAAAGTGGGACATGATACGGTTACTGTAATGATGCTTTTAATACCATATTATATTGTTAACGAGATTTATAAAATTCCAATGGCAGTCCTAGATCATAAATTCATTTGTTTAATCATGTTACAAGACATGAGTAAATATTTCAAGCATCACACACAGTAAAATAATGTATTTTCTTTGTTTCGCTTAATTTTTTTTTTGTGTGCAATAGTATTTGTAATTAATGTTATGAGTTTTGTTTATTGTAGAAACTGTAACACAAGAAACACAATTAAGTCCCTGGTTCGATGCCCGGGCCGGTAGACATATATTTTGTATTTTTTTTCCCACATTTGTTTTTTTATAACATCAGGTGACGGGACGAAAACTTGTGCGCCTGATCATAAGCTACACGCCTGTCCGTAACAGATGCTGTGCCACTCAGAGCTTTAAGTCGCAAAGATCAGAGGGGTACTGTCACTGCGCCAGTCACCCTGAGACATAAGTTGATAAGTCTCATGTGCCTGTAATTTCATCAGCACCCTTACCTTTCAAAACCGGAACATAGTAATTTTGACATTACTGCTTGGCGGCAGAAATAGGTAAGGTGGCAGTCACGGCAGTACTTCCCTGGGCGAACTATTCACAAGGAGCTACTACTGCTATTAGTGTGCGTTAAGATAAGTTTAATATAAGTGTGGCAATGCAATAAATGTCTAAAATATGGAATGATCTGCGTGGTTTTGTGACAGGGGCAGCGTCTTTATTTTTTTATTCTTTTGCTTCATTTCCTATTTTGAATCAAAGTCATAAAAACAGCTGTCCTAACTATATGAGTATTATATACAATATGTACAAAATATTGCAAAGAAAATAACTGAAGCTATATCAAGCCGAACAAACGAACTGTTTAAACCGAATTTCATAGAAAACCATATCTCTCTAGTAAATGGTAAATTGCAATAAAATACGATTATTGAACGGGACATGGAAGATTGATATACGACCACATGTATGACCTTCGTATAAATATTCGTATATAATTGTAGAATAATATACGAGTATTTATGTGAAGGTCCTCGTAAATCCCACATTTTGCATAATGTGTTGGATGGATTAATGGGAAGCTGGCATATTTCTAAAGGTCCTTAAGGTAAGGATATTTCCAAAAGTCCTTTCCAGCGAACTATTTGTCATATTATAAATTATGCGAAATATGGGATTTACGAGAAAAGTTACAGCGTAGTTTTATTTGAAAAGGGTTTTGTTTTTCCGTCATTTCTGTATTATCTATGTTATTGACGCCGACAACTAAGTACTCACTCATAGCATTGCCTACTGGAAAAGGCAACACATAATATAGTATAGGTAAGGTCGGTATTGAAGCAAAATAAATTTAAGCCTAAGAAATTTATATATTTAGGATATTCCACGCATAAAACACTGCATATTAAATCATCACAGATTTTTAAATATAATTCTAAGTGACGGGACGAACAGTTCGTACGCCTGATGGTAAGCGACATGCCTGTCCATAACAGTTGCAGTGCCACTCAGAGCTTGAAATCGCAAAGATCTGAGGGGCACTGCTACTGCGCCCTATCGCTATCACCCTGAGACATAAGTTGACAAGTCCCAAGTCCCATGCACCTTCACATTTCGAAACCGGAATGCGGCAATGCTCACATTACTGCTTGGCTGCAGAAATAGGTAAGGTGGCAGTACTTCCTTGGACGAACTCTTTCACAAGAAGCTCTACGGCTACTGCATGAATACAATGGCGTTAAAAAGATAAATTCATACCCTTGGTATAATAGAGCCATATGTGATTGATTATTCATCATTAAACCCCAACAGTCGAAACTAGAACTAATTACCTAAATTCTTAATAAGAAACTGAATGTAAGTAAATGTCACGTCTCATGGCAACAGACGCAGTGGGAGTGTCCGTTCCGGTACTTGATACCATAAAAAAACAACAATGTAGGTTCTTGAAATAAAAGAGTAATGTAATATTTATATTTATAATGTTCATAAAATATGCTCACGTTACTGCTTGGCGGCAGGAATAGGTAAGGCTGTACATCCCTGGACAAACTCTTTCTTTTTTCGCTACTAAACGCGTTCTGGCATATCTGACCTGTGGTTCATAATGAACATTGTTATCATAATGAAATATTTTTAGCTTTTCTGTAAAAATGTCCACGAGTATATCTATATTGTATGTTATAAAAACGTAAAAGCTATAACAATATTAAATTGACCTAAATTTATATATCTGCCGGTTTTCTTTAGCAATTTGCTAATGGCCGG